TTCCGCGTCACTCTGCAGGGAATTTCTCCAAGGCATATTTACAGAATAATGAAGTATATAGATTTATGTTCATCTCCCAGGAATGTGTTAATAAACGCAAAGTTTTATTACTCCGTTTTACGACTTATGACGTCTTTTCTTTATGGAATTCATATAGGTAGTTCCAGCTTCTGCAGCATAACTGATAGCTAGAAACGATTTTACTGCGCATTAAAATGTTGTACAGCGTTTCAGAGCACTACAGTGGTATTATTACATACTGTAAATCCTGGTTCAGAAAAATTTTGCATTTAACATATTTATGATGGACGAGTCCACGTTTTTGAAATGTTAAGAATGTATTTCGATTTCTCCGGACTGTGAATTTCTGAAATATCCAGTTTGTACCCTTTGTCTGACAGGACAGACCATCGCATGATATGCTGAGCAGAGTTAAAACGGCAGATTGCTGCTTTTCGTCACGCATTTCCTGTTGAAATCTGCTGATAAATTGATGACATGATCAGTTAGCTGAAAGGTGTTTTGCGCGTGTAAATATGACAGCCGTTAAATGAGTACTGCGGTGGTTGCTTGACGCACGGATACCACGAAAACTTGGAATTAGATGCTTTCAGCTCCTTCTGAAGAAAGTGCAATCGTGGGACGTAGAATCTTTTGGGTATCTGAAAGTGGACTTTATGGTCGGTTATTCGAGCAGCAATTTGGCAATGGAAGATTCAATGGCTTTGCATAGGCGTCAGGAAGAGGTAAAAGCGTAATGCACGTTATGACGTTTTTTGCATATATGTTTGCATAACTAAGATATATTTTATGTATACATATTTTGTGGATATGTTATTTCGTATATTTTGTGTATGCACAAGTATTGGTAGAGTATAAAATTGTTTGCTTTTCTTGACATGTGAGTGGTAATGATAAGCATACCCGTTTGATTTTAATTGTGCAAAGGCTGAAATTCGGGATCGCATTTACCGGAAATTTTTTCACTTCAGCTTTCAACTTATTTCCTTTTGTATTTTCTATAATGCAGTGTTGTTTAAGATGTTCTACTCTCTAGTGCGAGTTTTCCAGTTTTCTTAATGATGACGCTACAGTAGGATAAGCTGTAGTAAAAACAATAATTACCTCTTCGAACCTGCAACGATTTCACTTTTTGTTTTAGTAGACGCAGTTATCCTCGGATTTTTGCGAGGTGTACGAAGTTCAGGTGGTTTGAATCCATATTGGTGGCTTATTTCTTTGCCATTTTTGTTTAATGCTTTTTAATACGGGTAAGTGAAGAAAAGGGGATCCTTCAGGGAAAGGCGATTTTCAGATTAATAAAAGGAGTGGAGAAACAGTGATGAGAAAGGTACTCATGCGATGCAGTGAAGTTGAAAAACAGCTAATGCCTGAAACGAAGGCGTCAATCAATAACTGCTCTTCATTTTAATGTAAACCGTTAGATATCCTTTGATCACTCTTAATCGAAATGTTCCCCTTTCATCTACACTTATGCTTTAGATGAACATTTCATAAGCAAATGGTTATAATCTTACGAAGTATAAACGCTCTCTTTGTTTAAGCCGCCTAAGATTCTTGGTCTTTGCTCATCTCATCTTGCCATATTTTGACATTGTGAAGTGATTACTGCGTTGGCGAAACATAGACCTTTCATCGACGACAGATTTCAGGTTGGTTGCCTTTGCCATGTCAAATGGTGGACACCATATCCGTATTTGTTTACCGATGTTAGCAGCCGAGGAGCCAGTGTAGCTTGGTTGCTTACCAGTCGATAGTTAAGCCATGTCGTTCTTCTGTGTCTAGTCTGTAGGCATTCCAAGTGTCTTCGCTTTGCTAGCTATAAAATTTCTTGCTTTCCAATAGTTACG